ATTCAGACAGTGAGGTTAAGCTCAACTGCCTATGTTATAGGGTAATGATATCATTAAGCTTCTCTTGTGGAGGGTTAACAGCTTAAGTCTGCAGACCAAAAATTGGAGAAAAAGAAAGGCTACAAGAATAGCAAACATTTTGGCCCTAGCCCTACAAGATCAGTGAGGACTCTGAACATAAAGAGAACCTGTACTGTAACATCCTGTAACTCAGTGGTGTCCCGAATTTTCTGAACAAGATTATGGGGCTACAGTGGAAAGTGATCAACAAGGTATAATGTGCCTAAGGAGAGTCATCTAGAGAGAAAACGTTCTCTCAGGCTTTCACAGAGAGCGAACTGGTCAGGCAATGGCTGTGACTCATCTCCATAGCTGACACTGACAAAGAATCTACAAACTGTGGTACAGGGTTTCAGGGTAAATCCTGAGGGGATCTGACTGACCTTGGCAGACACAAAAGTTACATTTCTCGTTATATAGGTCTTGCTTTATCTTGGTCTTACCCATCCAGCAGAAAAGTATAAAAATGAGGTATAAAAAGTAAAGCCACATTAATATGCTGAGCTGTAAAAGGCTCAAGTCAACAACTTCTGACATTGCCAGTCCTACGGAAAACCAACTACTATTATGGGCTACTGGACTATATTGGATTATTTTGCTGAATTCACACACCTACAATATTTACATGGCAATGGAATACCCATTTCTGACAAAACTAAAACAAAAAAGGGGGATATAAATGACCAGTTAAGAGTTTATATATACACACAAAAAAATAGGATATACAGCTTTCTTTTAATCAATGAGATTGATACTAATAGCGTTTGGATAGGATATCATGTCTGCACCTTGTACTATGAATAACGACTACGAAGACGGGGCTGAGGAAATGGCTCAGTGGAATAAGTGCTTCCTTGGCAAGTGCAAAAGGCCTGAGTTCAATCCCCGGTTCCGCAAAAAAAAAAAATAAAAATAAAAATAAAAATAAATACCTACTATGAAGACAACAACATGCAGTGTATTAATTATAACTGTTCTAGTAACCTGTTTTGAAACTCTTACTGCTACTTTGTTTCTCAATAAAATTAATTTAAAAAAAGAGAAATTAAAACAATGGTGGTGAACTTATGGCATGCATACCACAGCCAGCTGTTAGTACTGAAACTTCTAAATGGTTTGCCATCACTGTCCTAAAATCTAGTACCTTATTAAAGCAATAATTACAAAAATTAATTAAATGGATTAACAACCAGACTTGGAGGTACACACTCGTTACTCAGCCATTTGGGAGGCTGAGGCAGGTCAGGGTGGGCAATTTAATAAGACTTCATCTCAAAATAAAAAGGGTTGGGCACCCAGTCCAGTGGTAAAGTGCTTGCTCAGCATGTGTGAGACCCTGGGTTCAATCAACAGTACCATTAAAACAGAAAATCCAACATAAGTCAGGCAGGGTGTGCACACCTGGACTACCCACACTACGGGAAACTGAGGCAGGAGATCACACGTTCAGGTCTCACCTAGGCAGCGACTCCAAGACTGAGTAAACCCTCTTCTCAAAATAAGGACTAAGGTTGTTCTCATGCAAAGGCCAAGTGTTCAATCCCCACTGCTAAAAAAGACTGCAAATGACTTCTTGGAGTGGGGTGAAATCTAGCCTATTGAGAACACGCCAAAATGTGGCAGAAAGGTGCAACACCTGGTCACCGCAACAAATAGTGACAAAAATAGCTGCAATGACTTGTTCCTACAGACCAGATTCCTAGCTTTGTAAAGATAGTATTCAGCCCTCAGAACCTAATCGAAATCGTTTCCCACACTGGCCACATAGCACATCACGTACCTTCATCTAAATAGGAATCTGCTAGACTCCCTCCCAGCTTCTTGATGACATGTATCGCCTCCAGATTACCAGAACCTTTCAGCCTGAGAACAGCTTCTACAGCTAACTTGGTAAAGTGGTCTTTGTGATGAGTAAGAAGCTTTGACGATAAGGTTGTTCCTGCAATATTCAACAGGTCCTGACGGAACTTAGCTTCATCAGAACTAAGCAAAACCAGTGAGAACAAAAAGAAAGCCTGTTATTAAAATGCTTATCCAAACCATTCCACAATACTACTTTACTTTTCACAATTTAACTAATTATTCACAAGTCAACAAATACTCCTGCATTCACCCACAAATGATACGGTTTCCCCGCCAAAGTAGGAAGAATAGGGTAAGGTCACAATCCAACCAGAGTCAAATGATCTCCGAGAAAGTTAAGAATACAAAGCAGCACTTTTTATGCAGGTAGAAGGAAGGTGATTTTTCTCAAGATAATTTGGCAATGTACATAAAAGTCCTTTAAGTCATATATATATATTATATATATACATATGTATATAATATATATATACACACACATATATATCTCTTTTGACTCAGCAATTAAACTACTAGAAACACTGCTTGAATAAAAAATTTACAACATAAAACTAAAATCTGTCAGAAACACAAATCACCAATGACAGCTATGTTAAGGGAATTGCATATACTCAAATGCCTACAAAAACTAGTAATACAAAAAAAAAAAAAAAAAAAAAAAACAATGCCCAGACATACACGTTATCCACCTACATGGAAAAGGTTAATAAATCCTCTATACAGCATGACACTTTTATTTGCATGTTAATTTGATTACATACATAAAACTATAGAAGCCCACGCTTTCAGTTCAGGGGTTAACTCTGGAGAGAGAAGTGGGTTTGAGTGCTGGAGCAGAACAAAGCAGCAGGATCAGGCTTGTGTACGACCGTCACTGTTCTATATACCCATCAGTGTTCTGTACGGTGAATATTTAGAATAGCAACATTCCTGCACACTCACCCATGATCTACTGCAGAACTCAAGAGAGCCTCTCTTGCAGCCTTTGTGGCTTCTCTCCAACCGGCAATGATGGTCTGTGGATGAAGCTTTTTTGCAATTAAAGACTCGGCTTCCTATTAATGAAGTTATACAAATGAATTAGAAAAGATTTGACTACCTCGGAGATTCAAAATCACAATAGGAAAACCAATAAGACAAGAATACTCAGTTGGTCTTACCCTTAGTAATTCTGCTGCTAGAACAGTAACAGAGGTAGTGCCATCTCCAACTTCATCATCTTGAACTCTTGACATATCTAGAGAAAATTAATTATAACTTCAGTTACCTTTACCAAGCTCTACCCAAATGGCTCTACAACCTAAATCGCACTCACCTCATATGACACGTTTTGAGGAATTCTGCTAAGGTCTGAAATGGAGGAGTTTTACCCGTGGCCATGGTCTGAGTGTATCCCCAAAAGTTCACAAATTGGAAACTTAAACCCCAATTAATCTCTCATCTTATAATGCCTTCTGCCATGCTGTGGCAGCCAACACGTTTTCAGGGCCCTTCATCTTAAGAATATAGCCCTCAAGAACCACCAGCCAAATGAACAAGCTTCTATGAAACACAAATGAGCAAGTCTGCAGTTTCTGTTAAAGCACTACAATATGGACTAAGACAACGCCACCAGTAAATACCAGTACTTCTGAAAATTTGTATTTAAACAATGACAATAACCAAATAGAAAGTGATGGAAATTACAGTACATTTAGTCAGTATGGCTGCGTTATGCCAAGTGGTGAGCACACAGTATTATCTTCAGACTCACCAACTAGAACTTTAGCAGCTGGATTGTCAATCCCAATGTTTTTTAGAATAGTGGCCCCATCATTGGTTACCATCAGAGAAGCATCTCGTCCACTGCTTAAAAGAATTTTGTCCTGAAGGAAACACATTTGTTTCAGGTTAAGATACACAGAAACAAACTACACTATGATCAGTAAAAGTTTAATTAAACTATTCAACACTCTGACAATTTAAAAAGCCAGAATACTTACACTGAAATTTTAAGCACAACTTACAGAAAAACCACATGCAAACACATGTATATATGTTATAGGAAAATAGCTAAGAAACTACATAATACCCAAGATACAAATATATAAAATATACTGAAAGGCTGCACATTCACTTGATCTTAGCCAAAAGGCCGAGAAGCGATAAGGCTGCACATTCAAATAGGAAATAGTGATTCAGGACTGCGACTTTTACCAAGAATATACTGATCTTACTTTTACAATCAAATAACATGAAAAATTGTTAATTGTGTTTCTACTAGGGCTTCCAAAACAGTATTCATTCAAAGTTTACTGGCGGCTAGCTTGGAGAACATAGCCAAGAAATCATTTCAAAAAATGTAAAAAGCAATCTCTTTTCCTTACCATGCCCTTGGGTCCCAAGGTGCTCTTTACCAAGTCTCCAACGGCGATGGCACCAATAAACGAAGACTGAGCAAAAAAATCAAGATGTGTCAGAATTTTACGGCGAAAGACAAGCGTAAAATTTAGTATTTAGAAGTAAAGGGACAGGCTTACCAGACGAGCTGTCTCTGCCCTCTCTTCATCTGCTCCAGCCTTGAAGATGTTAACAGGCGCAAGGGAAAGGGATGCCTGGGCAAAAAAAAATTCGGTTTGCACGCTAATCCCTTTTTCTTTTCTACTTTTTAGAGACAGCATCTCATGACAGCTCAGAATGGCCTCGAACTTGCAGCGTTCCCAACGCTCCCAAGTGCAGGGATTACTAGCGTCGCCCCCGCGCCTGGTTTACCCATCCTTGTTTAAAAACCCACTTACTGTAGAGATCTAAGAGAAAATCCACTTACAACGTTGTAATTTCAAACAACACATCCACCATCCCACTGGCATGTTTGAAGACACAGGACACGGTCTTACAGGCGGGTGCCAGGAATAAAAACCACGCACCAGTAAGACTGTCACGGACAGCAAAACTAAAGGCAGCGGTCACGGCTGCGCCGAGGCCGAGTGGCCGAGGCCGCCCAAGCCCCGCCGCCAGCGCCGGCCTCCATCTTCCCTGCGCGGCTCCCACTCTTCCTCCAGGCTCCGCCCGCGGAGGGCGGGGCTGGCCGGGCACTAGAAACTTCTCGGCAAGACCAGGCCCAGGACTCGGAATCGCGGGGTCTCGAGGCTGCGGAGGGGCCGCCTCAAAGAGACCGGGGCGAGGGGGCCAGCGCCGTCCGCGGGGGCCAAGGCGGGCCCTGCCCGCTGCACCGCTTAGGCTTCGCGCTGCGGCCCGCGCGCGCCATGTGCGGCGAGCCCGGGGCACAGACAGAGGAGAGCCTGCGCGGCTGGAGAGCAGGAGCGGCGGGGCGGCGAGGGCACCACAAGGTGAGGGCAGGGGCAGCGGTAGGACGCGGGAAGCGGGGGCCCAGGCTCACCATGGTTCCGAAGAATTCGGCACAGAAGCCAGCCCGTCGCAGCTCACGCCTGGCAGCCGGCGGAAAGAGGGAGGCGGAAGTGACGTCACAGCCCCTCCAGGGGGCGGGCCCAGTTCGGGATGGTACTTTGTTTGAGTTACGCCGCCGGGTGACCCGGAAGCGCAACCCTGTACGCCGAGGGGGCAGGGCCTCGGTTCCTGCTCCGCCCCCGCGGCGCCAGGGAGAGGGGGCGGGGCAAGGGGTGAGCGTACAGCCCTGCGGCCCCACAGAGAGGCGGCGCTGCGGGCGTTGCCACAGTAACGCGTTCCCCCAGCGACGGGGTTCCAGTTCATAATTTTTTAAAATTCGTATCTTTACAATTTTGTATTAAAGTCGTTTCCCGAAAACATAAAACAATAAATGAAAGTAGTTTCTTCTCAGGGAAACTATATTTAAAGGTTTTCGGGCTATTTCGGTTTTTTTGTTATTTATTAACTTATTTCTAAATGCTATTTTGCTGTTTTCAGTTTTAATCATTATTATTACAGAGGAAAATTTGCTTTCTTTTTATCGAATTGTAAAGCACTGCTTCCAGTTGGACGCCGACTGCTCAGAGCGCCTAGGTCTTATGGAGCCGTCTCTCTCGCTTACCCACTGTGGTTTCTGCACATACTTTCCCCCCTCAAAACGGAAATAACTAATACGCTCCCACGTGGTGTCTTGGTAGACATCGAGGTCCATGCCTAATGCTCCAGTTCTTCCAAAACGATCTTAGCTTTCTATTTTTTCTAAATTGACATCCTAAAGGTATCCAAAGCAAAACATTATGCTATTAACAACAACAAAAAACCCAAACAACTAGAAAACAAAACCAACCAGGCACCCCCAAGGCTAAGGCAGGAGCAAGCAAGACAGAGGCTGGCCTGGGCTACACAGCGAATTGAAGGCCAGCCTGAACTACAAGGCAAGACCTTTTCTCAAAAAACCAAAAAAAAATTTTTTTTTAATGAAATACAGCTGTTGGTTTTCTAGCCCTGTTGATACCCGCTTTTCTTTTGAATGATCACATAGCAAACTCCTAGATGTGTGACTATTGCTAACACTGAAAGGTATTTTCAGTTCTTAGTTATTTCTAATCTGAGATATCCTCTCAAGTACATTTTTTGTTTTTTAAGTTTTTCAAGACAGTCTCTGTGTAGCCCATGCTGGCCTCAAACTCATAGCAATCCTCCTGCCTCAGCCTCCCAAGTGCTGGCATTACAGACATGCGCCACATGCCCAGCCCATGTGGATTAATTTACAGCAAAGGTCAGCAAGTTACTCAGATTCAGCCTGTCTGCCTTTTGTATGACGAGAGAAGAAGAGTTTTTATATTTTTAAATGGTTGAGGGGAAAACATTTATGATACATGAAAATTACATTAGATTCCTATTTTGCTGTTATGGTTTGTGTCTTTTGTGTCTAGCTAGGTGTCCCCCCAAAGCCTCACGCAGTCTTGGGGTGGCTTCTGGAGTTTGTGATTATCGTGGGTGTGGATGCTGCCCCTGCCCTGGGGCAGGCAATTTGCATTACAATGTAAGGAGGGAAGAGAAGCTAGCTGCTTGAGCTGCTGCTACCCCTCCCTGAGCTCTTGCTCTTTGCTGCCGCCATGAAAGGTTGCTTTCTGCTGTGTGCTGCTCTGCCTTGGAGCCAGCTGAGTAAGGACTGAACCCTCCAGTAACTGTGAGCTGACTAAACCTTTCTTTCCTTCCTTTTGGGTGTCGGGTATGTGTCCCAGCAACGAGAGAAGAGTAACTGAGACAGCTGTCCATATCGTTTCATTGGAACACAGGCATGCTCATTTATTTTTTATACTATCAGTACCACAGCAGAGTTGTGCCACAGAGAACTGAGTAGTTGTGACAGGGCCACATGGGCCCACGAGGCCTCAATTATTTACTGTCTCATTCTTTATAGAAAACATTGCCGGGGCTGGAGAGATGGCTCAGTGGTCTAAGGCACCTACTTAGAACAAGCTTGGCAAAGCAT